GGCAGTCATTGTTACGAAGAGGCTTCTAGTTGGATAGATGCTAATAGCTATATATGCTATATATATATATATATATATATATATATATATATATATATATATATATATATATATACATATATATATATATATATATATATATATATATATATATATATATGCTATATATATATATATATGTATGTATGTATTATACATATATAATACATGCTACACGTCCCACCCACCTTAGCCTCCGTGTCTTCATGTAAATATCATGGGATATGAAAAAGTATACTGTTTCTGTAAGCAGTTCTTTATTGGTGTTTCTTCTCAATAAGTTAGTATTCTGATCCCAGATCGCTTCGGTTGTCGTGAGGAGGATTTTTCTCTCAAATCTTCCAACAATTATTCAAAAGTAGCTGGTTGCTACCATGGGACACATATCGTTGTGTTTTTTTTTAGTAGGTACGCAATATCTTTATTAGTTCTTCATCAAATCCAATGATTAAGCCTTCATTTTTGAGATTTCCTTCTCCTTCAGGTGGGAAAATAGTCACAACGTCCCGAAATTTCAGGCGTAAAAGGTATGAAGGAAAAAGAAAATCTATTTGCGAATAACTCAAAGAGTATATATTGTATTGTCGATTGCCCGTGATTACCTGAAAGTTTACTAAATTCTCTACAAAACCAAAAAAAAAAAAAGTATCGAAATTGGACCATTATCAAAGATACACCTTATTATTTTTTAAATAAGTTGGTTTAAAACATGAATGAAGTTTTTTTTTTTTCCTTGGCCGATTACAATTATCGTGAAAATAAAAATTTACTGATTCATTCATGCATTATTTTATTTCCTTATTATTTTATAATTTATTCACTGACCAATGTACTATACCAATTATGCCCACGGGCTATTATTATTTTACGGGCTATTACACTAATTAATTATTATTCCTTTAAAAATTAAATATCATACTATATTAAATATAAATTTACGCTTTTTGTTGCAATGATTTTATCTTTACACCAAAACGCGTAACTTTCTTATTAATCGCGTGTTGTCAATCTTGCTGTGGTTGCAATCGTTAATTTCAAACTCCACACTTTTAGACCATCAAAACGGCTTAGCTACTTGGTAACTCTAATTGCCAAAGGTATGAGCTTTACGAAGAGGAATTTTCCGTTTTATCTTTCGAAAGCTTTTTTCTACAATATTCATATTTTTAACGGTATATGGTACTTCTATATTGCTACTCTTAGATCGGAAATTATATTTCAAACTGCGAGAATATTTCTCCAATCTTCCTTTAGTTAGTTATCAAACTCTTTCGTAGCTCATATTTATCTATTTTTTATTAGTGCTAACAATGAGAAACTCTTAATAACAATTAAAACAAATTATGATTCTTCAGGTAATTTAATGTAGAAAATTCACTATTTATAGATTCTATCTCTAGGTGTTTATCTGGTCGTAGAAATCTATTATAATTATTTGGTTAGTAGGTACATGCATACTCAAAACTCTATTTTCATTTTTATTATTATCAATTAGTAATAATTTATAATTAGAATAAATTTAATTTATTATTTTATAATTTGTGTTTATTGTAATACTATTTATAATATAATAACTTGCCAAGCAAGAATATTATTTATTTTTTATTTAATATTATTTATTGAACACTTCCATTGTATTTTATCTACTTTTATGTATTTTATGAATTAGATTAGGAAGAGAGAGGAAAAAATATTAGGAGGAATAAGATAAATGTATAAAAGGAGAGAAGGTTGAGAAAGGAAAATATAATGATGATGTAAGAAATAATAAAAATGATAATTATAATAATATTTTATTTTGTTCTTTTTTAAGGATGAGAACCAGGCAAAGATTGTCGAAATAGCGTTGGTTAGGATGATAGCCTTCACAAAGTGGTTGAAGAAAAAAATCGCAAATATCAAGACCTCGGTGAGGAGCTCAAGCAATTGTATTAACTTTAAAAAGTGAGGGTTTTGACGCTGGTCATCTCTACAAATGGTCTGATTCCGGACAGAACAGAGGGCACCATAAAGCAATTAGACCTTTCGATGAATTGTTTGGAGCTGATGCAGAAAGCGGTGTTACTCGGAACAGCTAATATTGTTCGAAAATTTATGAATGTAACAGATTAATTTGTTTAGCCTACCCTTGACTTAAGTGCGGGTGATATGCTGTAACCACCAAATGCTGTGAAACAAGGAATTTCCCTAAATAATACTACATATAAAAAAAACAATTGTTTACTATACTCATACGTGTTTATAATACTGTATATTTGTATATTAGTTTTAATAATAATGATTGATAAGTATGCTGTGTTTGTAGCAATCCAATATAATTGGGCAGCATCCTTATTAAAGTGATTGAGGCTCTCTCTTTTGCCATGAGCCTCGGACGTCCAACCTGCTTGGTACCGAAAGTTTGTTCCAATAGGATCCTGGATGGTAGTTTGTAAGGATCCATTCTTGCAACGTGGCCAGCCCAGCGAAGTCTTGATCCTTTTATGTACGTGGATACATCCACTTTCTTATATTCTTTATTTAATTCGCCAAGTATCCTTCTTCTACAGGTGTCTTGCTGGCATATCTCACTGTATATTCGGATCACGGAGCACTTTCCTTTCAAACCTGTGGAGGACATGCTCTTGGGGTTTAGTCGTAGTCCAACATTGCTGAGAGGACTAATCCTTCAATTTCCTTCTCTACACTGTTCTCTTGATTCACCTGTGCTCCCGAGTGCAAAAAAGAAATTCTTTCAAACCTGCCCTATTGAGATTATTTTATCACCTTCGCGAGTGGGTAAGGTTCAGATGTACTTCACGGATAGATAGGGTACAAATATACTTCGAGAGTAGGTAGAGTAAAAATATACTTCGTACTTTTCGGGTAGGTAGGGTACAAAGAGGGGTCGGGGTGACCGAATGCGCTAACGCTTATGCACAGTACAGTACAGTACAGAATATACATGCGGAGTTGTCCGGCAACCAGATAACCGAAGATATGAGAGACTAAAAAGAACGAGTTCGCGTCCCGGTGTTGGAGGGGATTTTAAATTCCCCGCAATTCAGGTTCAAAAAGTCTGATGTTCCTGGTAACTCTGTGATTGGCTCCAAATTTTCTCTAAGTAGCCAAATGAATTTTCTTTTGAGGGAAACATGTGCTTCCAACAAAATGCCCGTTTGAAGTTCCAAAATTTATTAACCTCCTTCCATAATCATTCAAAGCTTCTTGCTATTGTTGGTAAATATGCAAATTATTTGCCTATTCATGCGTATTTATATACTATTTTCATCTCATACTTCGAACAGCTATCAAGACATCTTTCAAGTTCTTCGTAGAAAGCATGTTAAAGATTAGAAGACCCTCTTCTAATTCTTCAGTAGGCACATGGACACATATTAAACTAATATCATAAAAGAAGAGACCTTCCATTAGTCAATCCTTCAGCTGCTTATGAGGTAAGAAAAAAATTACTAGCTACCAGACTATTACAGAATTCAGCTAGGAATCATTTTCTATCCTTCTACAGTTCCTCGTCTAACGAAAAATCATCTTTGTCTTAAGAGACATTTAGGAACTCTTAAAAATCTGAGTTTCTAGTAATAAAAGCTTCACTGAGCTCTCTCAAATTAAATTTACTTTTATGAAATAATTTTGATAATTAATAAAGGCTTGAGATTGAAAATATTATATTTTATTAATATTAGTGGAAAAAGTAAAAAAAAAAAATGTTGTTTTCCCCTGAGACCATCTTATACAGATACCTAATTACCCTACCTGTTATCTAATCTTGAACTTTAGTTCGTTTAACGGAGTTGTATTTGTTTATTTATTTAGATTAGATAAATAAATAAAATAATGGTTTTAACTAGGTGATAATATAATATAATATAAATTATTTATTACCTAAGTAGACAATTTTTTTTTTAACTTCTTTTTTTTTGTTATCCACACCTGTCAAAATGGTAATGACAACCAGTGAATATGATAATAGTTGGAAAACATAATGGCATGTAAGGTATGAGGGAGAGCAGAACCCAGCGGCACATCCTCCTGGAGTGATATCTATATTAGGCGAGGAGATCCCTCATTCAGCTCCTCTTCAGCCTTCTACGGACGTTATCTGACATATGCGTAGTGGTCATGTCATGTCATTTAGGAGTGTGTTAGATTGTCCTTGTAAAAAAAAATTAAATTTTAAAACAATGAAAATAAATATATAATGTAAATTTTTGTTTCGTTTTAAGGAATTTTTCGAGAAAAAAAAAAAAAAAAAAAGTGTAGATCTTTATTTTATTTATGTTCAATATGATTGTTGAAATTAATTGACATTGGGTCTAGTTTAAGGAGAGATTACTACATACCATAGAAATTGCTCGTTCATTCATACAGACAAAATACATATAAACCAATCATGATCAAGATCACACCGAATAGAGGTGTTCATAGGGAAAAGAATCTTGAGAGATTTAAATTGTTTGCATTTATTTATTTACTTTTTTTTGTATTTAGTTTTGGAGAATGATTAATTAGGTTTATGATATTACTGTTATGCGAAAACTTGTCGGATTTTTTACAAAAATAAAGTCTATGGTTAAACAAAAATAATTATATGATATAATTACTATACTATACTTTATAACTGAAGAACCCCAGCTTTTTTTGAAACCAACAATGCAACGGCGGTAGGCAGTGGCACTATGAAGTAAGTATGTAAGAATTATAAAAGTTGCTAAATTATGTTTAAAATTAAAAAAACTATGTTTTATAATCAAAGTTCCATTGGAATAATTAAATAGACTTTCCATCAGAATAAATTGATTATATCAGTATTCTAGTAACGTGTTAGCATCTTGAAGAAATAAAGTGGGAAATATTTCTTTGTTTTTATAAATTAATTTCAAGTGGCTACAATCGTGATTGCGAATATTTGAAGTATTCCAACTACTTATTAGTCAATCAAGGACTACCTAATGTGTTAATAAATATCGATTTAATTTATACTCAGATCATTTCTGTAAAATACATGGAGTGTGGTGGTGTGCATTCTTGTCGCGGTTGAACTTCTACAAGGCATGACTTCATCAAAGTCCTCCCAGTATATCTACACCCTAGCAGGTCAGTTTTAAAACTTAGATATATAAATATATTCCGGCGAGAACTTCTTCTGACATAATCCTTTATTCTGTGAACAAGAATTAGAAGAACTATTTAAATCTTCTCTAGTGTTTTTACTATCCAGGGGTGCCTAGAAGAGGGTTGCACGGCACACGAAATGTTTGGGGGGCTACATTTGTATGAACTTATGGACCTCAGAAGGAGTCACAAATTTATGGGACTTTGAATTTTTGGAAAAAAACTATATTTCTGTAAGGTTTCAACTGAAGAGAACTTCAAACAAAGGAAGGAATGAAAAACCTAAACTACAAGTTTATAATTTTGCTTTCATTTGCACTCTTTTGAGTAGAGGAGGGCATTAAAATTTCTAGCGAGGGAGATTCAAATTTTCATTGGTGGAATGAACAAACCGGATACTACCAGTTGTCAATACGCTTTATATTATTATATTCTAATATAATAATCAGGAATTCGAAATAAATATTATTTCATTAAAAAAATGGTGTAATTTTCTTCAATTAATTTCGTAGAAATTTTGAACCGTCTTGCGAATTCAATTCATCAATTACTGAAAAATAAAAACTAATTTTGCTCTAGTTTAATATGAAAATTTTGTTATTAAACTATGTGTTTGTGGCATGGATCATATTTTGTGTTGTTTTAAACGCTTTTCCGAAGAAAGAGAAAAAAAAAGACCTTGAAAAAATTACGACACATATTACGCGATAAAAGTGGACAATTAAAAAAAATATATATATATATATAAAATGTTTAATTAATTTTACCAATCGTAAAGGGAATTACTATTTTTGGCACAAAATGATTTTTTCTTTTGTTATAATTTAGTATTTCAGTCCATAATTCTAAAACTGTGATTATTTAAAACTGCCGTATTATTTATTAATACGATAGTAAATTTTTTGTCATACCCAAAACCATCAATTTTGGAAAACGTTAATAAATCAACCATTTTTTGCACAAAACGAGGAAGCTGGGCGTAGGGGGATTGTTTGTGACAACTGTCCGATTATTTCTGAACCGTGAGCTGAGTAACCACTCAGGTATGAAATAGATTTTTTTTTTTGGTTTCTAGTATATGATGATTGGGGTCACGGGCGGATCTACGGGGGGAGGGCTTTCAGGTTGAAGCCCCCCACCCCAAAATGGTAAAATATAACCATGTTTTCTGGAAATGTTTTTTTTAACAATACCTCTTAAAGTGAGTTTTGCCTTTCAATTCGTTTGTCATGACAATAAAAAGTATTTTTTGTAAGGAAGGTATTTCTTTAAACCTCTACTCCATCTCTCTATTTTCATATTTTGAATGTATTTATATATTTCGGATATATTTCGGATTCCAACCTGTGAAAAAACAAACTTCCTGTAAAGACGTTAGATGAAGTTTAACGTCCTGTAAAGTCTGTGCCTACCTAACAATATTATTGTTAGTGTAAGTACACTTAACAGGACTTAAGGAATCACTTAAACACCATTTCATATAGGTAGTTAGTTTCTTTCTGTTTTTCCAAAGTAATTATTTTTATGAAAAAAAAAAAGGTTTCGGGCTGAAGCCCCCCTCCCAAAAATTAAATCGTAAGTCCGCTAGTGATTGGGGTTGTAAATTATGTTTACTATATATAATAGTTATTTTAATGTTTTAAATTAGGAAGATTTTTTTTTCGGTTTTGCAAGTTCCTTCAAGTGAACAGAAACAAATCAGGTTCCTTCAAAAATAGCAAATATATCGAATTCGGTATTGGGTAAGTAAGAATAATAAGTATTGTAAATTCAGTGCAGTAATAATAACTTGTGAGTTTTTCTGAACAATTTTGGATTTTCTTTCAATAGTACACTAACATCATAAATACTTCATCCATATTGAATTCAACTCATAAAACTTCATCTAACGTCTTTACAGGAAGTTTGTTTTTTCACAGGTTGGAATCCGAAATATATCCGGTATAAATCCGAAATATATAAATACATTCAAAATATGAAAATAGAGAGATGGAGTAGAGGTTTAAAGAAATACCTTCCTTACAAAAAATACCTTTTATTGTCATGACAAACGAATTGAAAGGCAAAACTCACCTAAGTCTTTTTACTTTCCTACCTATACTAGGTAAGGAAAGTATTGCAATCGGGTCAAATTTCCGACATGCGGTTTTCGACGGGATCTATACGTTTCAAACCGTCTTGAGTCCGAAAAAAACATTTTTGGCCATTGGTCTGTCTGCCTGTGCCAAGATTTTCTCGGAAACTACTGAACCGATTTTGTTGCTTCTTTTTTTGTTTTGTAGGCTTTTGACTACTGATGGCTGTCACAGAAATTCGGTGCTCCATGCGCAATAGCTTCCGCGCAATAAATGAAAAACATGTTTGTCTATAGACTGTAGCGCAAAAACGGCTCAAACGATTTTGATGAAACTTTCCTATAATGTTTTAATCATTGTTCTTTTAATTTTCGTATATAGACTGAATTCTCCAAAAAATTCAGGAAAAAAAGTTATAAAGAAAAGAAAAATGATTTAGGGCCTAACTCCGTAATTATATATTATACGGTAAAATTTATAATGAAACTTTTAAAAGGTAATTAAATTACCAACAAAACAAAAAAAAAATCATCGGAATCGAACCAGTATTAGCGATGATACAGCTTATTCTATTTTTTACGCTTTTTTTAAACTTATTTTATTACTTTCCTACCTATCAAATAAATCGTACTCAAATCTTATGTTTGATCAATTTTCAGGAAAATGTATCAAATTCAATTCTTTTTTGTTTCTTCATGAACATATGTAAAGATATAAAAACTTTTTGAAATAGGTAGGAAAGTTGTGTGAATGGACACACCAGATTTTTTAATAATATATTGAGGTTGTACAATATTATTACAATAATGATGGATTAAGTCCTAAGCTGTCTAAGGAGCCATGTTGGCCCCCTAAAGGGCCTTAAGGACTTATAGCTTATCTTAAAAAAATGAGAAATAACCGCAATGGATCAAAACCCGTTAAAATTAATCGAACAAACCTAAAAATAAAATGACAGATTTGTGGCCTCTTTTAAGTTGATTTTTTTATTTTATTTTTTTTTTTAATGAAAAAACCTCATTTTTTACGGAAACTTCTTTTGAGAAAACATTCCTCCATTTTTGTAGTACAGCTATTTCTTTAAAATTAAATAAATATGGAATCCCTCTTATACTTATATATGGAATCATCTAATTTGTCAAACCCACAGAAAAAAAACGTCCGCCAAGTATGCCCAGTATAGCTTCCTCATCTTTTCATTGGCTGAACAATATCTTTATTTTAAAGTCCATAATTTTTCGTTGAATAATATCTCCGGGAGAAGCCATTTTCAGAACTACAGTAATTCCTCAACATTCTCAGTAATTCTTAACATTTGATATCCAACAATTTTGTTCGTTGATACTAAAATGAAGCAGAATTCTAAAGTTGCAAATTGCGTGTTTGATGAATCGTGATTAAAATAAAATAATCAAATCCCTGTACATACTGCAGATGTCGAAATCGAGACCACAACGAGCTGGTTGAGTTTCAACAGAAACAAACCAATTCACAAATAAGACTTTTTTTTACTGACTAAATAAAGTAAAAATTAATTAAAATTTACTGGAAATTAAATGAAATCTAAGTAAAGCTAAGTAAGGTGTTCTCTTAGGTACATTTCATGGTCAGTCGGATAAGGAAAGGAGTAGGTGCTTAAAGAGGAGAGGTTTGAAAGAGGAAACTGATTGTGACTGTCAAATATTAGGAGGGTTAGAATTCCAGAGGGAGACTGCTTGAATTATAAAGGTCAAACTAAGCAATTCGGTGTGGAGGAGGATAGAAGTCAGAAGTATGAGATCTAGTGGGGTGGGATTGAATGTAGTATTTAAATTGTAGGCTCTGAAAAATATAGAAAGGTCACTGAGTTTTATTGGCCTGGTGTAGAAAAGTAGCATGGAATGGATAGAGCCACTTTAACTTGATGTAATACTGGGTAACATGCATATCTCTAGATATCCCAAATATCATACTTGTTTGGATCAATTAAGAAATAAAAAAAAATATTTCTGTTTAAAGTATGAAGATTTTGTCAAATCTTATTTTTAATGTATTTTATGTTCATTAAACATCATTGTTATACAAATGTTATTTCCTATTCACTTAAAAATATTTACATGTACATGGCTTGAAATATAATAAAAACTAGAATGACGTTTGTTTTCCAACTGGCAGGTTTTCATTTTCAAATTTATTATTTCAGTGACGATAGTAGTTATCGCTGGAGGCACCGTGATTGGCTGGAGCTCACCTGCTCTTCCACAACTTCAATCGCCTGACTCTGATGTCCCACTCACCCCTGAGGAAGGATCATGGGTGGGTTCTCTCCTCACAATAGGATGCTTCTTAGGAGCCCTGCCAGCAGGATCTATCGCAGATTGTCTCGGTAGGAAGGTAATAACAACCACTCATGATAAATATCTTCATATATATTAAAAGTTTTCTTAATTACATATACAACAATAAATATAATTAATTACATTTAAACATTATTACTTAATATTTTTGACACTGTTTTCCCAAATCATTTATCGCTGTGATATGAGTGTACAGAAGAGAGCAGGAGAGGGCCATTGCACCCATCTAAATAATTTGAAAGAAAAGAAAACATAATGTTATACATAAGGTTACCCGAAAATTCGAGAAAATTCATTTTTAAAATTTGTTATTTTATGTATTAGGTTGTATCTTAAGTTCTTTATTTGTTGTTTGAGGTTGATTTACTGTTTTATGTATGAACTGTTTTGCTCTATTACCTACTTCCATCTCTTAGTAAGCCTTTTATACTCTTTTTCCAAAATTTTTGAGACTTACATAATATTCATCGAGGTGCGTTTTTATTTCGCTTTCGTGTTTGTGACATTTATCACAGAGAGAATTCTTTAATGAAAGAAACAAGTAATAATCGGATGGGGCAAGGTTTGTGGAGTAAGGAGGATGATGTAGAAAGTCCCAATCAAAGTGTAAGAGTTTGTCTTACGGCCAACAAAACATGGAACATTGGCCATAATGCAGACACTCTTACAGGTTGACTGGAACTTTCTATCTCATGCTCCTTATTCCCCAGACCTCGCCCCATCCAATTATTATTACTTTTTTCTTTTGTTAAAGAATTACATCCGTGATAAATGTCACAAATTTGAGAGCAAAATAAAAACTCATCAGGATGAATATAACACAGTATATTAATCTCAAACAACAGATAAAGAAAAAGGAAAGAAGTTCTGGGATAATATAATATATATTTTATTTCTTTTAAAATTATTTATAAATTGTAATAATAAATAAACTTTTCAGACATTTTTTTTTCCTCTTTTTCTCCATAATGTTATGGTCTTGCTCAGTCAGGAAAATAGTGCAGCACATAGAATCAGTTTAAGAATGGACCACCTCTTAGCATCATTAACTTCCTATCTAGACTTTAGTTTATCCATCAGATGTTTATCCATCAATTTAGGGTACCATTATCCTCTTGGTTATTATTTATCTAGTTTAGAACAGTTAGGAAATATATAAATATATGTACACAAATTCAATATGGAAATTAAATAAGTGAAAACATTAATAAGATTATTTAGAGAGATTACTGCAACTAATATTTCTAAAAATAATACTATGATAAGTTGATTTTTTAGTTTATTTTAATTTTGCTCTTTTTCTGAAAAATAGTATTTTTATGTTCTTACTTTTAAAAAATTAAAGGAACCCCATTTTTCTTTCAAGTCAACCATCGGAAGAAAAATGAGATGATATTCTGTAATAGTTAGACTGTAAATAAAGTCTTTGTCAACTGCAAGTATCTCATGTCTTGACAGAATTTGTCAGCTTCAGATTATCAAAAACCAAAGTCTTTCCATGCCAGATGAAGGCCTGAACTTCGGGCCGAAACGTCGGCAAATATAAAAATAAATATAATTATTTATTTTTACTATTTTTTATTTTGACTGATCTCCCCAACCACTCTTCTCTTCACTTGAGAAAAATTTAATATGGGACCTAGACTTTTAAAGTATTAAAGACCCGAGTAGTAATAAAAAACCTTAAATTCTAAGAAACTACTAAGAAATTAATTTATAATCAAAAACTCCTTCAAATACATTATATTTTTTGAAAAACTTATAAATATTATTGTATTTAAACACTTTCAAATGATTATTATTAATGATTGTTATTTTTTTAGGAAAATATAAAATTAATGTTTGATTTTAGCCCATAGTGAATTGAATATATAATCTAATGTAATTGTGATTTGATCTGTAAGACCCAACTATGAATTATTGTTTTCAGTGGGCTATAATGAGCATGACCATCCCTATCCTTACATCTTGGGTCATGATTTTCTTTGCTAAAACTGCAATGATATTCTACATCGCACGACTGATTGGTGGATTAGGACTTGGAGCTTTGTGTACCTTGGTCCCTATGTATATCGGGGAAATTGCGGAAGAGAGTATTAAAGGTATGTGTAGTTACTGATAAATTCACACTTATTATAGTAATGAGCTAAAATAAATTGTACAAAGTAAGTAAATGATACAAAACCTTTTTCTTAGCAAAAGTCCTATGTATACAATTTGATTGTATATAATATTGTCCAAAAGGAATTTATTCCCTGATTAAATTCAGAATTTATTTCTTTATTTATATTTCATATATGATAAAATCCTGGAAACATTTTTAACTTCAAATATTCTTTATTCAATCAACCATTATCAACAATTCGTCCATTTTCAGAATTTCTCTCTATTAAGCATACTTCCATTCACCATATAATTATCACTTACATACCATTATTCTATTACTATACATTTCTTTATATATGTATATATAAAATATATTACCACAATATTATTTTCTTTAATACCTATTAATTATTAAAGGAAGATATGGTAATATGTTTTTTGCTTACCAGTAGTAGAAATTTCAAAAAATAGTATTATCATCTTTGGTAATTTAGTAATTAGTAATTAAATAAAGCTAATACTTTAATTTGCACTCCTACAACCCATGGAGGGTCTTAAGATCAGTATGTTGTAAGAAAGTACTGTTTTTTGGTCAACAATTGTACGAGGAGATGATTTGACTGGTGATGTCAGTCAAATCACCTCCTTGCTCAACCATCAAGTTTTACCCACTTTATAAAGAATAAGTGTGGCCTTGGAGGCTATCCCGACCCCAAAAATGATCCATGGCTAGTGTAACAGAAAAAATAATGACCTGCCACAACCAAATTAAAAATAAAAATAAGCAAAATAATAATAAGAAGAAATAGAAAAATGTAAAAAAAACATAAATGTATAAAATAATAATCCAATGAGATCAGAAATACAGATATTTAAATTTTGATGTAATTAATAATAATTGTATATTTGTTTAAAATTTGAGTTGGTTAATTTTCAAAAAAAGTAATAAATATTTAATATCTTAAACATATATTATGTATTATAATAGTATATATGTGTATACTATAGTACATATAGTATACTATAGTACATACAGTATACTGTAGTACATATAGTAATATGTACTATTATAGTACATAATGTATAGAATAGAAATAGAATAGAATATAATAGTATACATATGTATATACAAACATATTTTCGACATGATAAATTGTTGAGTGTGAACAGTGAATATTGGAAAACAGAAAAATCGTGTAGTGGTGTATCTATTTCGTATATAAAAGATTATTCCATGAGCTATTCATTCACATTCTATTTCTATTGATCTATTTTGAATTATTGCTGTCTCCTAAATCATTTTGGTTTGGAGTAACAGTATTACACTGTTTATATATTACACTGTTACTTCAATCAAGAAGTATTAATTGAAAACTAATTATAAATAAAATACAGATAAGATTTAATTAAAATGTTAAATTATAATCTCAAATTTACATCAGTATTGAATTATTTATGTAATTAAATAATAATATTCTTAATAAGAGATGCAGAGACTACGCAGCCTCCTACTTGAAGATCTATTTTACATTGTCATCCTGAGTTCTCTAATTTCCTTGTATGTACTGGCAGGTCCTAACCATTATTTTATTTTATTTTATTTTATTGAAAGATATTAGTCTGTCAAATCTAAGGACAATAGTATAGTGATAGAAGAGTAGCTCATTCATACTATGTACAATAAATAAAGAGCAAAATAATAATACTAAGACTAAATGTATATAAACTAAACCAATCAAAATAACTACTTAAATACACACATGCTTTTATACAATATTTACAAAATCCGTTCACGCAATATATCTGAGCCAAGCCTTTCCCTCCACTCGTGGAAGAAAAACAGGACTGTAGGAGATCTCAGTGCCACTCACTCAGTCACATTACTCGTATTAAGGACTATTGGAGGCTGACCAGAGGTACTGTAACTAGATATACATGGCTTGAGTGGAGAATCTGGTTATTGCCAGAACTCTAATCTACTTCCAATTTCCAACTCCAATAAAGACTTATAACAGGTCTCTCTGTCAATGACGCTTCACCCTTCAAGGAGGATTGTAGGTATGGGTAGAGCTGGATTGTGCAAGTGGATTTGGATGATATGTAAGGATTTGATGGAATTTGGAAAACTTTCCAGGGATAAGGTCTAGGACAAATGGGATATTAAGGTCATGATGTAGGGTTTTTCTTGATTACATAGAACGGAACATCAATTATTATTCGAAAGGCTTTGGACTGATAGGATTTGATGCATTTTATGCTAGAAAATTTTGCTTTTCCCCACAGTTCCAGTCCATAGGTCTAAATAGGTTTCAGTATTGTCTTGGAGATCAGTAATTTTTTGTCAATTGAAAGTTGAGATTTTCTGTTCAGTAATCTTTGTAGCTGGCCATATTGTTGGTTGAGTTCTTGTCTTTTAAGACTTGTATGTGGGTTCTAAGTTAGTCTTTGTTCTAGAGAAAGCCAAGATACCGAGGTGTATCTGAGTAAGGAAGCTGGATGGAGTTAAAGTGTAAAAGTGGACAGGAATTGCTTTGGAGTGTAATGGTTAGCATTTGGATTAATTTACTTTAATGTGCCATTTATTGCACCATTGTTCAATCAGAGAGAGATTGAAGGTCTTGTAGATTTAACGATGCTATTTCGGAATATGAGTTGGATGATAGGATTGCGGTGACATCAGCAAATGCTGCAAGGAAGGTATTGGAATGAGCAGGAATGATAGCGTTAAAGAGAACGTAAAGCACAGAACCCAAGACGCTGCTCCAAGGAACACTGGCTTAAACTGGATAGATATCGGAAAATGCTGTTCTACAGTGTACTCAAAAGGAGCAGTCTAAGAAGTAGAATCGAAGGATTAGGTATAAGGACTGAGGGAGATAGATTTTAAGCTTGAAGATCAGTCTGGAGTGCCATACTATTTCTAGAGCTGCTGATATATGATTAACCACTCGGAGTCCTTGTTGAATTGTAGTGTTTTGAATGAAAACTAAACTGATGAGAAGGAAGATTTTGGGATTCTATGAGCGATAGGATTCATTTCAAAAAGATATTTTCAAAGATTTTTGAAAGGATTGGGGGTAGGCTAAGTGATATATAGTATGCGCAGCTGTTGGGAGGTTTGCTGGTTTTGGGAAAAGGATAATACTGGAGGATGTAGAGATGGTTGACCGTTGATATAATATGAGAAGGAGTTAGTCGAGGGTGCGGTCAAATAAATAAAAAAATTAAAATATATAAATTATTTTAATAAGATATAAATATATAAATTAGATATAGATATAGATATAATAATATATATAATTAGATAATATAGATAATATATAATTAGATATATATAATATATAATATATATAATTATATATAATATAATTATAATATATAATATATAATATATATATAATTATAATATATATATAATTATAATATATAATATATATAATTAGATATATATAATATATAATGTATAATTAGATATAGATAATATATAAATTATTTTAATATAGATATAAATTTTATTTTCTAATATAGTTTTTGAAAGTATTAATTTTTCTGTTTAAATAATTTATATATTTTAATTTTTTTATTTATTTGACTGCACCCTCAACTAACTCCTTCTCAGATAATACTGGAGAGTTTCCATAATAGAGGAAAGTATGTTGTACACAAGATACAATTGTACAGTTAACATAAAGTGGGATGATAAAGTAAACCGAGTAGCTGTGATCATCTACACAAAGTTGGAAAATGTAGGTCACAGATTTTCAACTCTTTGAAACCTTTGGGTATCAGCCATATGTTCGTGTACTGCACTATACATAGAAATAATGAGACTCTATCTGTATGTGAGAGACCTCAACCGGAGGTGGCTCAGTGGCTGCTCGAAGAAATCCCATTTGAAAACAACAAACCATGTTTCGGAAATTAGGAATCTCTGTCTGATCAATGTCTTGCATAATAAAAAGTGACCTTGGATGCATTTCGAAGAATGACAGAACAAAGGTTACCACTTCCCTAAAAAAGATTACACCAATGGTCTTCATCGAAAGATTTTGTTTAGCGATGAGAAAATTTTTACAATTGAAGAAACCACCAAAATGATTGTGTGTACGCACACAGCTCTAAAGAAGCTCAGGAAGTCATTGGAAGAGTGGAAAGAGGTCATCACCCTTCCTCAGTGATGGTTTGGTGGGGAGTTTGCTTTGATGGCACCACAAAACTCCATTTTTATGAAAAATGAGTTAAAACAGCAGCTAAAAACTATCAGGACGATATTTTGGAACCTGTTGTCTTAAGCCTCTAAATGATACTCTGTTTGCTGGAAGTCAATGGATTTTCCAGCAGGATTCCACTCCTGCTCACAAGGCCAAGTGGCTGCAAAAGGACATTCCTGAGTTCATCTCTGCCTCGGATTGGCCATCAAGAAGCCCTGATCGATCTCAATCCACTTGATTATCAGCTTTGGTCAAACTGAAGAGGATGGCGTACCACAGACAGAGCACACCCTAACTTAGAAAGCCTCAAACATTCTCTGGTCTGAGCAGTTGAGGGCTTTCCTCAAACTGCGTGCTGCTATTGATGACTGGTCACGGAAATTTCTTTTAAATTCTAGTAATTTCTTTTATATTTTACTCTCCATAGATATAAATTTTATTTTCTAATAAAGTTTTTGAAAGTATTAATTTTTCTGTTGAAATCTGTATGTATTATCAAGGCAAAAGGGGGCATTTTGATTAATTTCTTTTATATTTTACTCCCTATAGATATAAATTTTATTTTCTAATAAAGTTTTTGAAAATATTAATTTTTCTGCTGAAATTTGTATGTATTTCCTTTGTATGTATTTATGACAGGACTAGGATAGATATATGTAAGGAATATGACTGCTTTGGATGGAAGTTGTTGAAAGATGTGAGGGATAAGATCATATCCAGGAGATTTATGGGGAATTAGTTTTTGTGATTGAAATTTCACTTTGAAAGGATGAATTGCTTTAGGGTGCAAGGAAAGTGGGATAGGTGATATAAGGAATTCCTCTATTGTTACGTTAAGGGCAGGATGGGATTGCGGATGTGAAATAAATGTATTGTATAGGTGTCTGGTGAACTCCTCGGCTTTATCTTCATCGGATGCTGCCAAGAAGCAGTCATCTCATCAGAGGGGGATGGGAAATTTGGTGAGGAATTAAGAATTTTGTTGTGGTTTTCCGAATGGAATTGTCACAATCAGAAAGGATTGTGACCTGAAGGTGTTCTAACCATTTAAGTTGTTATTATTTTATTTTATTTTTTATTTTTTTACTTTGGAATTTTCTATACAAACAGCCATAACATTAAGAAGTTGAATTCCTATTGTTTACTATAAAATAAAGTTACAGTATAATATTAATGAACAGAGCAAAACATTGTACAATGATAATAAACATATGAAGATCTACAATAATAAATAATATTGGAAAGCAGATATTGATATGAATGTTCTTATGATGTATTCTTTAGAGAAATTACTTGAAAATGCACAATTTATTAATATTGGTAATGAATTTATTGAATGAAGAATGTTTGTAGATTCAAGGTACATTATTATAATTCCAGAAATATGATTTTATTATATATAGGTATAATTAGCAAATTTTAAAATGATTAGTGGATATTTTTTCACCAATAAACTCTATTCCTTCTCACAACATGAAATTTGGCACCCAATAGCTTCCATGTATTCTGAGGTATAATTCTTCAGAAACTTTGTGGGTGTTATAGTCCTCAATTCCAATACTTCTTGAATTGAGAAATTTGATTACCTATTGAGGGTTTTAGACATCAGTATGCATTTATTATTTAATAAAAAGATATTTATTATTTTCATTAATTTAAATTTTTTTGCCAGTCTTACCTACCCAGTCTTAACTATCCTTGAATTGCTTTCAGGGATTCTTTCCTGCTTAATATCAGTCTTTTGGGGGCAATGTCATCTCTTTCAGCTGCTTTATTTACATTTTTTTTTTTATAGTGGATTCTATTTCATTTTTCTCTATTCATTCCTGGTTTTCATCAAATATGGGTTGTGCGCTGGGCATTTGTGTTCCATATGCCAAAGTGAAGGCTTGAAGATAGTAAATCAGATATGTCTACAAGGTGCCTGTTGTGCCTTCAAAATTTTTGAGTGAGACACATTTTGAATGTTTAAGGGGAAAACATTTCAACAGGGTTATGAATTTTCAGAATGGAAAGTTTTAAACAAAATTAGGGTAAGTATGGAACAGACTTTAGGAAGTGTAATAGTATTTAATATAAAATTTTCCTAATTCTACTTTTTGAACTATTTTCAAGAAGAGGTAAGCAATACAATATTTTTGGAGGGAAAAGATTCACCATTGACTTTGTGGGGAGAATGAGCACTCCTAAAGTAAATCCTATACCTTCCAAAGTATTATGTGTAATGAATACGTTGCCTCTTTCATATTATATATTGCTGATAGACTTTTTGTATTTTCTTTTAAGAAACTTGATGGACTACACCGGAATCGTTAGGTATTTTCTCAGAGATTTTTGTCAAGAGTCCTAACTCCTCCCAAGTTTCCTTTTTGCTTAAAGTATACCTATCTTGGATTCATTTCTTAATCTGCTATGTTCATTTAAATTAACAAGATTTTCATCTCGCAGATATACTTTTCATGCTTTTATTTTACTTCTCATCATTCGCCTAGTTTTTTTTCCACGTTAGAATTTTTCCACAATTTAGTACGCTCTTTCTTCTAGTCCAGCAAGTGAGCTTTGTTATCCTTTTTGCCTACCCACAATGACTATCTTGGGGTTTGCCGCCCCTTACTAACTTGCATGTACAATCTATTTACTGAGTATATATGAATCTATCCTCTTGATTCATTTCTGGACCACTGAGAAATGAATATTAACCGATCTAGGTGGGCAAAGAACGTTCTGAACCAACCATACTAGGCAATTTTTTTTTTTTTTTTTGTGTTAATATGAACATTTTACATTTGAACAAATATTTATTATAGTTATATTACTGACTTATTAATAATTTTTTTTTGATTTTCCTTCTAGGTACTCTGGGTACTGGGTTCCAGCTAATGTTGGTCGTTGGTATTGTTTATGCCTACAGTGTTGGAGCAGCTGTGAAATACACGATGCTGCCTTTACTTTGCGGAAGCATTAACGTAATATTCCTAATTGCGTTCTTCATGGCACCTGAGAGCCCCGTTTGGCTAGTGGTAAAAGGTCGACGGAGGGAAGCTGAAGCCTCGCTCCGCCGCCTTCGAGGAGCTTCACACGATATTACTGGGGAGATGGAAGCTGTCGAAGAAGAGTTCGCAAAACAAAATGAGATGAATGTTCCATTTTTCCAAGCGATATGCACAAGAGCCGGTATTCTGTCCTTCACCATGTGCCTCGGATGTATGTTTTTTCAGCAGGTGTCAGGAATAAATATTGTAATTTTCTATGCGGGAAATATCTTCAAGGATGCTGGAAGCAGTTTAGATCCGGCTATCGCAGCCATCTTGATACCCCTTACCATGACATTCGCGACCATTGTTTCAGCTTTGCTCGTTGACCGCCTCGGCAGAAAGATACTGCTCCAGATTTCTGCGGGAGCTATGATCATCTGCCTTGGTGTTCTTGGCTACTTTTTCTATATGAAAGATAACGGTCAAGATATCTCCAATATTGGATTGGTTCCGATAGGCGCAATGATCCTCTATGTGTTGCTCTTCGGTATTGGATACGGTCCCATTCCTTGGATGATATCCAGTGAACTTCTTCCTCCCGAAATCAAATCCACCTGCTCAGGCATCGCAGCCGGTTTCAATTGGCTCGTAGCATTCGTTGTTACAAAATCATTTCAACCACTTGTGGCAGGAGTCGGCTCCGCCGTAACTTTCTGGATTTTTTCTGGATTTAACGCTCTATCTCTCATTTTCGTAACTTTTGTTTTATTAGAAACTAAGGGTAAAAGTATAGCTGAAGTACAAGAGATTCTCAGCGGCAAGAAAATCTGAACATTTCGTAGTTAAATCGAAACCATGTGTAAAAGAGCCAGTATTCAGTCCTTCGACATGTGCGTCGAATTTATGGCATGAATCTTCGATGGTTTATGTTGGTATGTGAATAATAAATATATGATATATTTTACATTTATTTAATTTATTATATTTTTTAATAAAAGTTATTTATACAACTGGCCGTTGTTGGTTATTTACAATGCCTATGAGTTATAAAGTTAAGTGTTAATTTGACATCCGTAATATGGAATGTTAAATGTTATTTCCACAAATTAGTAGATATGATGTTAGGCGTACTTCGCTTTTTAAAATAGGACGAAAGACGATAAAAATAAAGACATATAGAACGATTTAATGAACTTGATTTAAATACATACATTTATCGATGGCAGTGCCGCTAAAAGCAATAACTCATTGATAAACTACGAATATTATTGATATTTTACCTAGTAACAAATCTCCGGGCTATAACTTAATTACAAACTTATTAAAATTATATAAAATCTATAAATTTTAAACTGCATCCACTAGTAAGATTTATATGACCCACTTGTTTACGACAATTGGACTTTTTATTCTGCTTGACGCAATACAATAGAGAATATTTTATACAATAGAATATAGAATCATTTAAATTTCAAAACTTGCCATAATAACTACTTTATTAAACGGAACCTAGATATAGAAACCAGAACTGTTATATTGATCACGAACTATCACATTTAGTCAGCTTCATCGAATTACTAGTACGTTTATTAATCATGCAATATCTTCGAAAGCAAACGCAACGATTGACATAAATATTAATTAATTTTATATCAAAAAATCTTAGAAGTGGTTGTTAAGATATCTACATGAATTAACGATCACCCACTACAATAAATCTATAAAGATAAAGACTTATTTTTATTATCAAAGAAAATGTTATATTAAAATTTATAGTTACTGTTCACAAACTATGTTGCAAGGTCCTAACTTATAAGACTGAGTTTTTGATTTCAAATTCCTGTGAAAGATTTTGGGTAACTTAATGCAGAAAATGCTTAAAAGAGGGACACACATGGGAGGTTACAATCTTCAGAGTAGTGTGTGCTCCAGCTCCCTTAAGAAAAGGTCTAGATGACCGAGCACGTAAACTTTAAACTTTAACATTCTCGGGTATAGTGATGCTTGTTTGAAACCGGCCAGAGCGGGTTTAAATTGATTTATAACCCCTGGTTTACCAGAAACAATGAGGTAGAGAGAAATCGAAAAAAAGAAAAAAAAAAAAAGAAGAAAGAAATGAGGCTATATATTTCCATATGGAAATGATCCTATCAGGGGTGCCCAGAAGGAGTCGGGTTTCTTGGCGAAAGTTGAACCATCAAAATTTTTTGGGAAAGAGTGGAAAATTTTGACAGGGTTCCGAATTTTCGGAATGAAAAGTTCAAACCAGGCTACAAAAAGAAATACGGAACAGACTGCAGCAAGTTTGATTATTGTGGATTTGTCATTGACTGTAGTGAATAATTGAAGAGAAGAATTTTTGGGGTGATCAGTCAAATTGAAATGGTAAATATTGAAAATGAATGATAAATATTCAAATTAATGGTATACATTCAAATTTAAATGGTAATTAATTATTTATTTTTTACTATTTCAATTTGACTGATCACTCCAACCATCCTTCTCTTCGAATTTGAATATATATGATCTTGGATATTCTAAATGCCACTTTCGTTTGCACTGTTTTTAAGAAGAGGAGAGCTACAAAACATCTTGGAAGGAGGAAACGGTTCATGCGCCATCGTCCTTGGATGCAACCCACCATCCGATGCGCTGTTTTGGACAAATATGTGGGTTGGATAGTAAACTATAGCAACAAGGAGGTTATGGTAACCGAGCGTAAAACATTTTCTCTCTTTAAAAATAAAAATAAATACTGAAATATTATTATATTACTAACATAAGGATGGAAGTAATGTGCGTAATACATTAAACTGTTAACCTATTATTTTCTATTAAAATTACTAGTTAAAATTGATTCTTTAATCTTACTGTGAGAGCTAACCTTATCGTGTCTAGCGAGGCCGGTTTGAATCCAGTTTTCAATTTGGGCAAACATTATTCGAATAAATAATAAATAATAATGAATGAAAATTTGAAATTAAAAATAATGAAAGAATAGCCAGAATAATCTTACTTCATCAGTTATTCAATAACTAATAATCGCTGAACAAAACTTTATTCAGTGAAAATATTGGCTGAACACAAAATTATTCAAGAAAAACATTTACCGAATAAACCATCAAATAATCATCTTAAGTTAAGGCTACTACAGAATAATTATATGAGTTCAATATTTGTTCCTGACTTATTATTTTTAAAAAAGACATTATGATAGAAGAAGATTGCAGTTCTGATGAAGGAATTAAAATCTGCGATAAGATAACAAACATAGCTTGGTTGACAAAAGACATAAAGAATAAAAACTATTATAAAACAAATTATAAAAATTTAAGTGTTGATGTTTATTTCACCTGGGGTATTCCCTGAGATAACCATCCCATTTAAACACGCGTTAACTTAGAACTTACCGATCTATTTTGAGTACAATCAGGCATTTTCATATATTGATAAGTGAAAATTCTATATGGTACAAAATATTAATCTAAAACAATTTAAAAATATCTAGTGTGTCCACTCACACGACTTTCCTACCTATTTCAGAAAAGTTTTTATATCTTTACATATGTTCATGAAGAAACAAAAAAGAATTGAACTGGATACATTTTCCTGAAAATAGATCAAACATAAGATTTGATTTATTTGATAAACTAAAGCAATGTAAACCGGCTTAAGGTAGATCAGTGTAAAAATTTCAATACTTCCTAATATTACTGATCAAAAACTTTTTGGCATAGCTTAGTGTTTTCAAACAATAATTTCCGTTAAAAGTATAGGAAATAATGAAGATTGTGTGATGCTGGCAGATTTTCTTACTTTCACTTAGTCATCTTTATTGTCTCATTCACCCCTTTCTGAAACCAGGAAATGAAACCGTAATCTTACATTGGAAATTGAATAGCTGTAACTTCGTTAATAGTTGTCGCAAATGAACGATTTTTACATGGCTTTGTAGGGAATTTCATTACAACAGGCTGAACGGCGTGTTTTTATTCTGGACTCAGGAGGCTCTGAAACGTACAGATCCGTCGAAAACCGCATGTCGGAAATTTGACCCGATTGCAATACTTTCCTTACCTAGTATAGGTAGGAAAGTAATAAGTTAAAAAAATGTGTAAAAAATAGAATAAGCTGTATCATCGCTAATATAGGTTCGATTCCGGTCTTTTTTTTTTTGTTGTTAATTTGATTACCTTTCAAAAGTTTTATTATAACTTAGGGAGTTAGGCCCCATAACATTTTTCTTTTCTTTATAACTTTTTTTCCTGCATTTTTTCGGGAATTTAGTCTACCTTCGAAAAGTGAAAAAACAATAATTAGAACATTATAGGAAAGTTTCATCAAAATCGTTAGAGCCGTTTTTGCGCTACAGCCCATAGAATGTTTTTCATGTTTTTCATTTATTGCGCGCAAACTATTGCGCATGGAGCACCGAATTTCCGTCACAGCCATCAGTAGTCAAAAGCCTACAAAATAAAAAAAGAAACAACAAAATCGGTTCAGTAGTTCCCGAGAAAATCTTGGCACAGACAGACAGACAGCCAGACAGAGAGACAGACCAATGGATAAAAATGTGTTTTTCGGACTCAGGGGGCTCTGAAACGCACAGATCCGTCAAAAACTGCATGTCGGAAATCTGACCCGATTGCAATACTTTCCTTACCTAGTATAGGTAGGAAAGTAAAAAACAAAGTTTCCAGTCATTCTTGTTTTGAGCAGCTGATTTACAGTGTCAAATACGAAAGATGGATTTTGCATCAACTGCCACATCATCATCAGCTCAACGCATTTTTGGAATTTGGAATAATAGATGTTCAGTGGATGGGTTCTTTTAGAATTTGGCTATTAGGCATTTTAGCCGGCCTAGAGGATTCGACCAACCTTGACGAATCACTATCATGGAACAGTGTTTGCAGTTCTATTGTAAATAACCTACTGAAAGTTAATTTTAAATAACTTGTTTTTGGCGGGAATAGGCGAATAGCCTTCCGTTTATATATCAGGGAACTTAGGTTTTTTACACTCCTGAATATTAAAACAAATCCCCGGCACTGAATATTGACTTTTGAGGGTGTTTAACTGTCGTTGGGAATTCAGGAATCTAATACCTTTTGTGACATTGAGTGAAAAGAAACAATAAGAATATATAGTTGAAATGTGGGACTTAGTAAATACACTTTGAATGAATTGACTCACCTGGTTTGTTATTCTTCAATCGTGAGGCATATAGGACAACTAAATAAAATGACTTTCACTCCTGTATAATAAAACAATTTATTTTATAGCTGTAATAAATTAATGTATAAAAGTCTTACAACTGTAGCCTTGATATTCTTGGTATTCAATGTAGTAAGCCTCTCTTCCCAGATGGCTTCCTCTCGCCTCCGTCCTTTTGCCTCAAGTATAATCTGGCGTCCTCTTCCAGCTGCTGCTACCTGATCGGACCTTTTTCCTTTTTTTCGATTGTTTATCGATATGAGATTTTCCAATGAGCAATTTGTGCACCGTACAATTGAGTACAATTCACAGTGCAACCTCACATTCCTATATATTATATATTCCTTCTCATACCCTCACACACTGTCACATAAAGGAGTAGATACAGGGGCCTATCTACTACACTATATTCGTACTCTGTCTCCATTTTTTGTTCTCACACACTAGCATTCAGCCAACCAGCCAGTTTGGGGGAACATTACACTGACGATCACGTACCTACACTGTAAACAGCACACCACTAGCGGATCGACGATCTAATTTTGGGGGGAGGGGGCTTTAGCCCGAAAGCTTTTTTTTTCATAAAAATAACGTTAATTTGGAAAAAAAGAAAAAGAAAACTAACTACCTATATGATATGGTGTTTAAGTGATTCCTAAATTCCTTTTAAATGTAATTACAGGAACAATATCATCATCATAAGATCATTTTTTAATATTTTTTCTATAAAACATGGTTACCCGTGCAGCACACTACAATCACCACAACATTGCAGACCAAGGTCACTTTCAATAA